TTATCTTATCTTATCTTATCTTATCTTATCTTATCTTATCTTATCTTATCTTATCTTATCTTATCTTATCTTATCTTATCTTATCTTATCTTACAAAACTGGTTGGGTAACGATCTGAATCTGTACTGTGCCCTCCTCAGGGTCAGATGGATGAGGATGTCCAGAAAGCCTTGAAGCAAATTCTGAAGATGTGCAAGGTGCCAAGTCCAGCCAAGGAGGCCTGCTGATGGTTCCACACCTGTAGAGACTGAGGACTGACAGACACCTGGTCCCTGTGGTTACACCTGGACTTGTTTTGATGGAGTTTACAGTCATGTAATCGTTGCCTTTAAAAAGGTCATTTTGAACCTTTTACAGTCTTCTGCCACATTTACATTATTGTTTTCTGTGTCTGGATAAGTAGACGCTGACAGAGGTTTGAAAGCAAACAAAAAGAATCAACCAGGCTGTTGTGGAGCTGATTCAGGTTTTATTGGATTTAAAAATCAGCTAGCTCGCGGCACAGCCTTTTAAAGCTATGCTTGTTGACAAATTATCTACTTTAAAGTGAAAATTTAGATCTTTTGAAATGGAATTCTATGATAAAGTTGTGAATTAATAATATCTTACCCGTTGTAGATRGCTTTTTAACTTTGACCAGATGAATCAGCTAAAGGCTAAAGTAGTTTGTGCTCTTAAAACAACTCGTAAGTCTCAAAGATGTTGAACTGGTTCATGCAAACTATTTTATAAWCCCTTAAATTGCCGTTGGTTTTGCATTACATCATTTATATAGAAATATCTGCTGATTTGCAACGTCAAATATGAACAGCTGCAGCCAGCTGTAGCACTTATGCAGGAATAGCTGAATACTTCTGTTGTAATAACCRTGTAATAAGAATTGGACAGCGGTGTAAAAGTGGATTAATATTTGCATGAAAGCTGCAATGAAATAATTTAGACTGGAGTTTGTTTGAAGAAACAGAAATCCACTTGGTTTTTGGCTCAGCTCAGACTAGCCGTTAGCTCATCAGTCCGGTCAAAAGGAATCTGTTTCTCCAAAAGGAGTTTCTTCCCAGAAACATCTACAACAGGTAAGATAATGACTGTTCGTAACCATTCTGCAGACCTCCACTTCAAACTATCTAAAAATCACTTTAGCTGGGTGAGTTTTCAGTTTATGGAAGTTATGCTTTTTTTTATTTAGATTGAATTTCATTCTTCCTGCTCAAGCAAGCCTTATAAAAACCACAATTACCAAATGAAATATCAGCTCAGAACTAAACAGCAACAACAAAAAAATAAATAAATAAAAATAAACCTTGAAGCTGCAAGACTGCTCTTAACCAAGGTAATTCCTAAAAATAAGCAATATTCTCCTGACTCATTAGTGAGACACGTCTGAATCAAATCATTGTCACAATCAAAGCAACAGGAGGACACTTCAGTTGGAGGATAAACATAAAGATGTTTGAATCATAAACCTGTTGAAACCAGATGTAATTAGAGTCAGGAACATTTCATCAGTGTAAAAAACAACAGCCAAAMAAATGCAGTAACGAGGTCTTTCTTTTGTTCATTACCAGCCAAACGTGTAATCTAACTTTGTCTATAATAATAATAATAATAATCCACACATGGAGTGTCATGTTGAATACAGTCTGTTGTTTAAGTTTGTTTACTGTCAAACAAACATGCTGGATTTGTGCACTAGTCAATTTAAAAGCAGCGAGTTTGTTCCTCTGTCATTTTGTGCAGTTAATATTGTATTAAACAGCAGTGTTAGCATTAATCTAAATGTGTCGTGGCTGTTGGGTTTTGTGGCCCTCTGAACAACGCACGTGACTTTGCTGCCCAAACGTCCCACAGAAATGCTTTCCTGCAGCACTTCTTTTTGTAATAATGTGTTTTCTAAGTTACTGTAATGTAATGAAGAGGTTCAGTGGTTGTGTTTTACGTGAATGAGAAGCCTTGTGTGTGACGAGCACGGTTATTTTTTCTAAGTGACACCTAAATTAGTTTGTTGTTCACGTGAGACTGTTTAATGGTTTAAATGGTTAAAAGCGTTTCTGTTTCTGTTGTGACAAAAAGCCTAACTATGAGTATTTGTGTCTCTTTTTCTTGTTCTGTTTCTTCCAGCAGTTTGGACTTTTGTTTACAAAGTTTCTACTTGAAAACCATATTGGCTGAAATATGATTCCCCCGTCACAAGCCTCAGGCTTCCATTAACCATCTCATTAATTTATTGCACACATATAAAAGTATTTTTGTTTGGAACACTCATCTCTCACCTGTAGGAACAGACGCACACTGTACATGTTTCTTAGATTCAGTTTTTAGGTTCGTTTCTTTGTGTCTTCTGAKGGTCTCTGCTCTCCTTTGCCTTAGCACTGATCTTAGAGCCATACCATTTCTACTGAAAAGCTTTTTGACTGTTCGGCGCACATTCAACACTAAACCTGTGGGACTCGCTGGGGACCAGAGTGGGTGAGTCACTCAGGAAACAGGACTGAGTCTTTGCAGGCCTTATATCTTAGGTTGTGCTAAATGTTCTGATTCTTGACTGAAATGTTTTGTACCAAGTAAGGGAAAACCAAGCAACAGCCATTCTCCTCGTTRTTTCTTTACTAACAGTTTTGTAGTGACAAGAAAGGAAAAAAAAAAGTTTGCCAACTGTATTTTGCCAACTTTATTAAATTTTTAAGATACCATATCCTCTCTGTTTTATATTTCTGAATTTTTATTTGAATTAGAACTAAAAAAGTGATGCAAGGCCAACTAATACTTGAACATTTTAATAGTTGTGACTGAATATCAGTCAAAATGATCTAAGTGCAATTTCTGATTCCTGCTTAAAATACATTTTATCTTCCTGATGAGAGAGGCCTTAATTTGTCTTTCTAATCTAGATAGCCTAATAATATTTGGTCTGAATCCTAATTTTGGGTCATTCTAATAAGGTATTTTTTGAGGTAAATTTTTAAGAGGAAAGATTTGGATTTAAAGATTTACCAGCAGCAAAAAAAAAATGCCAACTCATGGAAAATTACAAAAATTTAAGGCCCGTTTGCTCGAAAACATGATTTTTTTTGTAGCTACTCCAAAAAGAGCTTCAAATAATTTCTTTAAGATTACATTTTCGATATTTCATTTAAACAACCTATTAGATATAAAACCAAATGTAATTGTGCAAATGTTTAAACCAATGCACTRAAACTGCCTGTTTCTCCACAACTACTTTGTGACTCTTGTGGTTTTGTGAGTGGCCACTTTATCAAGTTGACCTATTAAATTAACACACCACTTTTTAATTCTATGGTTGTGTGTGAAGTTTGCAGTTATTTCTTTCTGCATAGATCTCTCAAAATACCGTCAGTATTCAATCAAGTTRATGTCTGGATTTTGACCAGACCATTGCTACACCTTGATCTTTTTTTAAGCCTCTGCTGTAGATTCTCTGCTGTGTTTGAGATGATTTATCCAGTTTGATCCAAGCTTCAGCCGTCAGACAGATGGCCTCATTTCACCGTTGAATAGTTTGGTAAAAGGAACCCTCTTCAGCTCTTCACCACTGCTTAGCAGCTGGTATGAGGTGTTTGGGCTGATTTGTTTGTTTTTGCCAAGCACGCCACTGTGCATTGTGGGTAAACCTCTCTGCCTCTGGTGGTTCAAAAAGATGAATCTCTTTCCTGAACATATCGCACATTCTCTGAGCATTGCATGGTCTGACCTTGGGGGTGAATATGCTTAAATGCCCACTCCTGGGAGAATTGGCAGCTGTCTTAAATATTTTTCACTTGTTAAAATCTTTTTGAGAGTGATGGTCTTCAAATAGTTTGGGAATGGATTGACCTTTCTCAGATTGATGGACAACAGTTGCTTCTCTGGACGAACAGCTGGTTGGTGGTAATCACYCAAAGCTAAGCGAACCAAGAGTTTGGACAAAACTTTCCATAACTTTACAAGCCAGGATTTTTTTTAACAGACTGCACTGACAACATGTGACCATCAGGTGGCAGCATTGACCACTAGACATCAACAAAGAGGCTGCCCATGCCTGTGTATTTTGTATGAGGAAAAAATACACACAAAAAATGTTAAATAAGCAGAAAAACATTCGAGACTTGAAGTTTATTTTTTCTATAACCAGTAATTGTGTTTTATTTCAGGATCAGATCTAATATAGTTTTTAAATTGATACTGAGAATATTTATTGTATWTACATGTTTGTTTTTAAATGTGTTTAATATTCTTTTCTTTTTATATTTAAATGTGTTACTATGTAACTTAATTGTACTTATGTACTGCTGCCCATTTGGGGCAGGACTCTCTGGAAAGAGATGTTTTTAATCTTAAGAGGACTTTTTTTCTGGTAAAATGAAGGTTTAATAATAACAAATCAGAAAAATAGAACATATTTAATTGAAAGTAGTAGAGTTTCATCCCTTGAATTATAGAGATATAAAATGATAAGGCACACTGGAGCTGATTTAGGAGCTCATTTTATTCTATATAAATTTGTCTAAAATCATTTTCATGCATTTTCTTGATCATTTTCCAAAAYCACTTGGACGTCTGGATTTCAACCACTGTACTTAGAGAAATAACGAAATGCTGCTCTCGTTTCCCTGTTTGGTCAGATATAACGTAATTCCTGTCCTCGCTCCCTCAGTGTCCACTCAGTCCTGCTGGCTTGATTTGGACTCGTTTTATCTGCTGCTCTGTTTCCTCTAACTGGTGGCACAACTGTTGCCATTTCCTGCCCTGGCCATTTTGTGTTGTGGCTGCTGGGCAAACACACGTACTTTTGCATTTACATGACGACTTCCTGTCAGTGTTGCTTTCCCACACGTCCTGCCCTCAGGCCTGGTGGGTTAGAGAGATCTGGTGCTGTGATCCTGATCCAGGAAGGGCCCACATTCGTGGTGCATCTTGGGCCGAAGTGAAATCTTAACTTTTGGAGTTTGAAAGAGGCAGGATGCTTAGATTGRATGCAATGAAACTAGATGAAATATTAAGATTTAGACGTTTTTTTGTTGTTGTTGTACAATGAAACTATTTATTTATTGAGAAAATTGTCTGCAGATTCATGTCTGTTCCATTTGTGTATAGCTAGCCAAACACGCGTCCATATTTTTCAAGTTGGTTTTACATGTTTTCAGTTAAAGGCAATTAYAAAGCAACTTCTTTTTTTCCCCCATAAAGGTCACTCTAGTGTGAAAAAGCACTACAGTCAAGTCATCCAGTCAGTACTGCAGTGAGAGATTGTTTTCTCTTGAAATATGAACTGATGGCTAAAAAAATACCTTTATTATTGTTCTTTACAGCTTGAAAAACTGAACACATTTATTGTTTTTTGTGGAGCATGTGGCTAGTCTAACTATCGGAAATTACTGTATTTGACAAAGCATCACTTTAAAAATGAACAAACTGTCCTTTTTTATTATCCTGCCAACATTCCAACTGAGGTAATTGCAACAGGCTGCTCTGGAAGTGCTACAGCTAGAAGCTGCTGGTGCTTCATCCATTCATCTCCTTTACTCGCCTCCGTTTTCTGGTTTGCAGGTAGCTGTCACTGTGCAAAGTGAGGGGTGAACCCTGGACAGATTGCAAGTTCATGACAGCAACACAAACAGCTAATCACACTCACACACACCCAGGGACAATTTAGACGAGCCTGCATTAATCTGCGGAAAGAAACTGGAGAAAACCCACATGTGCACAGTGAGAACATGTAAACTCCACCCAAAAAGKCCTCAGGCTGCCAGACAATCCTGCACCCTTCTTGCTGAAAGTTCACCTCTCAGATATTTGTGTTTACAAGTAACCATTGAGTTTTTATGTAAATGACTCTTTTTTGCACAAAGAGAAGCAAAGTAAAAGTTTATGGTGTTGGCATGAACCACTATTAGGTTTTAAGACGAGTCGTTTTAAGATGGCTAAAATTCATTTTGATCGTGGCCCCGATCAAATTTAGCTTGAAATTTAGCAGAAATGAACTTTATTTCTCCAAACGGATCAGTACAAAAAGCCATCTATAACAGGTAAGATATTAAATGTTCGTAGCCTCTCCACACAACCCCACTTTAAAATATTTAATATATCATTTTAGCTTGTAGTCTAGAGTAATGGCTGTATATAAAAGGGGAATGGGTTTTCCAATTTTAAAGGCAGAAGATAAATCACAACTAAAACATGAACAGGTCCAGATCATAGACCAGATGACAGAATAAAAAAAAACACATCAGTAAAAATCTTTTTTATTTAATGAGCTGCACAGATTTTCTAAAAAGGAGAATTTGATTGCTGCTGAGGGAGTCGTTCAGGGAGTTTATGAGAAACAACTTCAGTGAACCCAAAGTAGCAAATCAGCAGAGAAGGACAAGTGTATATACTAAATCTCTGCACAGGTGACTAATCTGCCACTGAGCCTCTCTTCTGAAGCTCAGAATGTAAACTTGAATCTGCTGCCAGACGCGTGTGGGTGAGGAAGAGGAGGGCAGCTGCTGAGGAACAAGTCACTCGTCCACTTAGTTTTTATTCAAATCAAAGCTCCTTTTTTTGATTCAACGCAGCGCCTTACATGTGTTGGAATATTTCCTCATCTTCTGTCCGTGCCTTTAACTGTTTGTTTAAACCGTGTGGGTTTGTGTCTGTAAATATTGTTGCCTCTTCCTAATGTGCGTCATCGGCCTTGCGCTCGCTCTAAATGTGCTGCTGGCCTCAGATATCTGCTGAAGAGCTGATATTTGTGCTCACTACTTGTCTGTATAAGTTACAGCTGTTGTGTTAATTACGCATTTCTGGTTATTACTGGCTGCCGGTAAAAGCGTCTGGCCTGAAAGTCTTTTGGGAGACCTTTAGGACCGTTAGGTCTGTTACACAAGCTTTGTTTGTAATGGAAAACCAGGCTGAGGGAAYGTATGGGATTTAAATAGAATCATTTAAATATTTAGTTGCAAACCTTTGACTTGCAGAAACTGCCAGAAACATAACCCGACTTTTCTTTTCTTTTGTGATGCTTTTTCAGGGCTTTAAATGCAGCTTCTTTTTTTGGKTTCGTTTGTTTTTTCTCTTCTTTAATTGTTCTCAGCAGTAAAGTGATGCTCATTAAGGTTTAAGTCCGGAGATCTAAACTTGATCAGACTAAAACTTTCCACTCTTATGTTCTGTGGAACCTTTTTGTTTTGAGTCAGCCACACATATTTTTTTTTACAGATGTAGATGTGAATACATGAGAAAATGTATTAATTGAGAAACTCCAGGAACCACAAATAAACCTGAAAGCAAAGAACATGAGTGAGATTTTTGCATATGTTAGAAGTAAGATTTTAAATTATTTTCTAAATTTGACAGAAGATAAAATTGTACAAATATGATCTCTCCTAACCCTCATCAGAACTTTGGCAGCAGATTTTTGGATGAGCTGAAGAGCTTTTTGGACATGAAGATAATAAAAAATTGCAACAGTCCAGCCTAGAAGTGATAAATGCACAGACTCACACAATGAGCTTAAAGTCCAGAATGTGAAGCAGCTCTTGTCTCCTGGCAGATCAGAACACAGCAAAACACAAAATAGAAGATCTTGGTACATGAGCTCTTTCCGTAAACAATACTCTAATCTGCAACAGATTCTTTGCTGATTATTTAATGATTTCACTGAAAAACACGTGTGACATTTAGTTAACGTGAAGTGCCTCTCCGCTAACGACA